TCTAGGGGCGAAGTTTGTCTTGGTGCTTAAGATGGGCCAATTTCACGGGCCACATCTTTGCCTGGCTCAAATCCTTGAGAATCTGGGGAACCATCCATTGAAGACCTGGTACGACCTCATCCGGCATCTCCTTCCTTAGAGTTTTGAAACTCACCGCTTCGCCATGCTCGGACATGCGTGGAATATGAAGAGAAGATCACATGGAAGTCTAAATGCCAGATCATTTTAGAGACGGACACAGTTCATCATATTCTTTAAAGGGGCTGGCAAACTTTGGAAAATTATAGGTGACCAGACTCGTCTTTGCTTGCTTGGGTTTGGACTTCGCTTTGGCCTTTGGAACTCCCAAAACCGTCGCGGGCGCGGGAGCTTCCTTTTGGTTGGTACGCAGGTTCAGGCACTCTTCGGGCTTGCAACCCTTCGTCAACTTCAGGGAAGCCTCTACACATGGAAATGAAGCGCAAACTGTTTAGCCACTTGCAGTTATATGTGCCAAATACCTCACGCACATATATATATATATACACACACACTTACATGATTCCACATTATATGTAATCAAAAATCATAAAATACCAATCACATCATATCATTTTATTATATCATATCATATTAGTCCAACTAGTTTTCAGGTGGGAGAAGGGGGACAGAGGAGAGAAAAAGAGAGAGAGAAAAGAGAGACAGAGAGAGAGAGAGAGCTGTGGCTTTGGCCACAGAATGGGCTCAAGATGGCTGAGGAAGCAATCATTGTAGCTGTAGCTTTGGCCACGGAGTGGGCTCAAGATCAGCCATGCCACAATCATTGTAGCTGCAGCTTTGGCCACAGATGGGCTCAAGATGGCTCAAGGAGCAGGCATTGTAGCAGTAGTTTTGGTCACAGAGTGGGCTCAAGATCAGCCATGCCACAAGCTGCAGCTTTGGCCACACATGGGCTTAATGATGAGTCATGCAACAATCATTGTAGCTGTAGTTTTGGTCACAGAGTGGGTGAAGATGGGTGAGAACACCAACGCCCCAGATGCACAACAAAGCCCCGGAAAGCAGGAACAACAAACAATCCAGGAACCCAACTGTTTCTGTTGGCGCCTGACCACCACAGTTGATCTTTGCCTTAGCCGCCATCTTGAGCGTGTTGGCGGTCTCCTCTTCATCCTTTTTTCCAAGCTCCACAGTCACCTACGGAGCATGGCGAATAAAACCCCTAACCTTGAGGGCAGGAGTGGATTGGAAACAAAGTGTGTTGATGATGCAGGAAAGGCACATAGTAAGTCTTCAAATCATCATCGTCTGGGTGATCTTGCACTAAACCAGCCGCAATCTTCTTCTTAATGATGCTGTCTGCAGCATCCGTGTCACCACCGTGATCAGCAATGATCTGAGCTTTGGTTCGCCAACCTCATTTATAACATGAATGCATATTTAGGGCCTTAAGCGTGCAGTTGCCTTTTTTTAATACTTCGCATATAACTTCCGCAAATTGGGGTAATTACTCTTGCAATTTTTTGTATATATGTATATATATAGATTATAGAAATATAATACATGGATCTGAACCACAAGTCGATGGAAAAAGTCCATTTCCATTCCCATGGCAACAAGCGGGATTCCAGCCGAGAGGCGCATTTTCCTCGTGGAAGTGGATCGATCGGTGTGGGTCCTGGAATTTTCCACGTGCAACCTGGGCAGGGGGCTGGCTTGGCAAAGCTTATCCCCATTTGAAAGTCCATAAAAAAGGGAAGAACATATTTATGCAGCTTGATTGAACCCCAGCCAATTTTCAAACATATTCACTTTTGAATTTATTGAACCCGAGTCCACGCTTAGATTGACCAAAAAACATTTGGAGCCACTGCGAACCCAAAAAAAATCGCATCCTGGGAGCAGGCTCCAATTCTTTCCGGCTTTCAGCCATTTTTCGAACAGGGCCGTCTTTGCAGCCTACATCAAACACAGATGGTTTTGATTTATAATGGAGGGTGCGTTATAACAAGCATTAGATTTCATTCGCATGTGTGAAAATACCTTCGTGTTGGTCTTCACTGCAGCTTCCCATGCTTCCACCACTTCATCCGGTATGTCGTGCGCTTCTGGGTCGCGAAGACGCCTCCCACAAAAGGGTGCATAATAGTTTGGGGTGAGTATGATAGCGTGACTGAGGCATTCTATAATTAGAAACCTGCCTTTTGAACTCGCCCTGCAAAGCTTGCCGTTCGTTGTAGGTCGCGGGTTCAATGGGCTGTGGTGCCCCATCCTGCAAAACAATCGCTTTTATATATACATGTATATACACACATCTCTATCTAGTTATCTAACTACGCGCAAAGGTTGAATACAGCAGTTCTAAGTCCCCAGGCCTCCCCAGTGGCAACGGTGATTTGAGCAGCAGGTCGTCGTACAGGCTGTGCTGGTTGTGCTGCTGCTGCTGCTGCTGGTGCTGGCTGTGCTGCTGCTGGGGGTGCTGGGGGTGCTGGGGGTGCTGGAAGCTGCGCACGGGTCAGGGGAGGTTGCGCTTTGGCTTTTGCCAAGGCTGGAGATTCTGCTTGGGGTGCATTGTTGGGTGTCTCCAGGTCTGGTGGCAGAACAGGCGGGGCCGGGGTATCAAGTTCCCACTTGACAGACAAGCCGGATGGCTGTGCTTTCTTGTGGCGCAAGATGCCAGCTCTTGCTGAGTCAAGCTGAACTTTGGCTGGTCCATGGGAGTCCTTGGCTGGGTGCATCTGTGGGGGTGTTGACTGAGGTGTTTCTGTGGATTCATGGCTTGGTGTTGGCTCAGGTGCTTGGGTTGCGGGTTGGCATGCAGCAACTTTGGCCGTTGGAATTGGCTTCGGGACTGCCTTCGCAGTTGGCATTGGCGACTTTGGTTGTTCTGCCATGTGCGTGTCATGTTCAGCATCAGCATAGGCATGGGCCTTTGCAGGGGGGCAAGCAGGCAGAACAAGGGGTGTAGCTGCAGAGGCTGGGGTGGCAGGAGGCCTACGCTTCAACACCATTGTGCTATGTGCAAGGGGTGGGCTGGCTGATGTTTTTGCTGCAGTACACACACCGCGACAAGCTGAAGCTTTCTTTGTGGGAGGCGTTGGAACACCCTTTGTGTAGTCTACTGTTGATGACCGGGAGTATGCTGCTGGCGACATTGACCTGTCACAACTAAACAGTCTTTTGAATTCGGTGCATGGTTTGCTGGACCTATGTGCGCATTCTAGAAATTGGATCATTGGGTGCCCCAATTTAAGCACGCAGGGTATTTCATTTCCTTAAGCCCAAATGTGGATTATTTTTCAAAAATTGGAACACCCAACAAGTAATAAAACAACCTGAGAAATAGACTCAGCAAGGGCCAGTGCTGGTTCTAGTTCACGGCTCGATGGAAGCAACGCGGGCCACTGAACTGGCGAAGGTGCACTCATCGAACCACTGGAAGCCTCCCATGAACTTGAAAAAGATGGGCTCACATAAATGGCATGGCTCATGGATGTGATAATATATGCGTCCCATGGGCAATGCAGCCATGTTATGTTGGCTCTCTAAACTTGTAAATACCATGCAGGCCATTTAGGACCACACCCTTTTCGATTTCTCTCCTGAAATTCCAAGCCCACCCACAGCCGGAATGAGGCCAAAGATGCCTTGGAAGTGAACGAAGTCGATGGCGAAATGACACGTCGTTTCGGCGGAGGCGTCTCCGCATGGTCAGAAGCTTCGGGTTGAACCTGAGTCCGCAGGCAGCGCTACTTTAGATATACCATGGAAATTGATGAATGGATATACACCAGGATAAGCCTAGTTACTGCTCCGCTCCATGGGGCAAAGAATTCCGCAACCTCCCCTTGCTTTGGTACATGAAAAGGAGGTAGTTTTGGAACAGGTGGAACTTTTCCTTCAGCTGAGTCCTATGGTTTTGTGGCAAATGCCAACCCCACACAAAACCTACCCACACAAAACCTAAATGAAACATTGAGAACATATAGTCCTGTTCTGGTCCCTTTGCCTTTCGACGGACCTGTCATCAAGAAATTCTGCTTTTGACGTATGCATAAATAAAGCATGTCAAAAATTAGTCAGAGTCACCATGGCGGGAGCTGCTCGAACTCCACAACAAGTGCCGCGGAATCCCCAATGCCCTAAAGAGCTGGAGACAGGATAGGGTCCAACGTTATAGCTACAATTCCTGCATGTGTGCGATCCCTTGCAATGACTATGGGACACTAACGGCCAAGTGTGACAACATCAGAACACATTTTTCCCGATTTTCCCGATGCCTTTCCGATGCCGGGGGCGTCGCGGGGCGTCGGTTTAGAGGAGTTTTGAGGTACCCATGACAACCCCATCCGATGTTTCCGATGGCTTTCCGATGCCGCCCCGCGACATTGCACATGTAATTTGGTCCCACAACTAAGAATGGGAAGTGCATATGGTAAAACAGCGAATTAGAAGTAGCCATGCCATGACATCAATCACCACTGGCCCGCTTGCGGCTGCGACGGGCATTCAACATGTCGATCAGGTGAGCCTCAACTTCGTGAAGCCTTGGCTAGGGACCATGGATGATCAGGGTCAACATTCCAACGTTTTCCAAACTCAAACATCCTTAAAGATGGATCCAACATATTCCCAACATTCCAAATCCAAACATTCCAAAGATGGATCCAAACATTCCAAACATTCCAAACCCAAACATTCCAATCCAAACATTTCAAACATACCAATCCCAAACATTCCAATCCAAACATTCCAAACATTCCAGACCCCAGCATTCCAATCTAAACATTCCACATTCCAAACCCGAACATTCCGAAGATGGACCGAAACATTCCAAACCCAAACATTCCAAAGATGGATCCATTCCAAACATTCCAAACCCGAACATTCCGAAGATGGATCGAAACATTCCAAACCCAAACATTCCAAAGATGGATTCCAAACATTCCAAACCCAAACATTCCAAACATGGATCCAATCATTCCAAACATTCGAAGCCCAAACATTCCAATCCAAACATTTCAAACATCCAATACCCAAACATCCCCAAGATGGGTCCAAACGGTACAGTATATGCATCGAACCAGTCCAAACATTCCAAACCTTGCATGGGATCCAGACATTCCAAGCATTTGCGGCATTCCATAGAACAGTCCATGGAGGGTGAAAAACACGGTTTGGAATTCCAGGGTGCCATTATATTTTTGGAATATGGCTGCATACATGCACGTGATTCCCTGGCAGTCCAGTGGCTTTGCATCTTCCCAAGCATCAGGGGTGTAGTCAATCGTCTCCACTGGAGTTAGATGGTGCGCTTCTTTCGTGAAGAGCTGAAACACCTTGGTTTTAAACATGGATGTCTATAGAGAGTCTAGAGATTTCATGGCCCAAATTAGAAAAAAGTATGGTATAGAGGACGGGCGACCCGTCTTCCAAAGCGAGGAGGATACACTTGAGTGGCTTTAAGATGTCGGCTTCCCTGAAATTTTGGACGTCCATCAGCAGTTTGGTATTTCACAGTGGAATTGCTGGGTTCAAACAAGCTCCTGTCCAAAGTCCTGTTTTCAGGGGCTTTAAAAAACAAGAAAAAACAAGTTGGCATGCATGCTGCATTTTAAAACCTCAATGTTTTTGACATGCAGTCCTGTAGAGTTTTTCCACGACGGGATCCGAGGAGACAAGTTTGACGGGCTTCCATGTTGGGGCACCATACATCCCGAGGTGTGTACGGCATTCCCAGTTCTCCGCATGCTGGAGGAAAGTTTTGAGGCGTGGGTGGTCGAACAACTCAGCGCAGCACCCCACCCCTCAAAAATAAACATGCCAAAGATAGCTGCACTGAGAAATTTGAAAATGTATTTTGAATTTAAGCACCCCACCAATGATTGAGAAGGATTTTCCAAAAGCCAATGTATGCCAAGGAAGCGGGCTGCATATAGTATGAGAGTCATCTTAGTGCAGCGAAAAACACATGTCCATGTCCCACGCCAAACCATGTGCCAAAGTATCAAGCATCCATTTCCTGGGCCTATGGCTCGACTCACCATTAAATTTCCATGCACCACGCTCGGACGAGTCCTGCGGGCCACACGGTTGCATGACCATTTCCCCCTTTTGTGAATGTCGGAATATGGAAAAGTTTGCCCATATGAGATATTTTGTTCTTAAATGCAACCCAGGTGAACGGTTCACGAGATAGATGTTGAATTTAGATGATTGGGGGTCCTGACCGTACATACTTTTTAGCCATGCAGATATTTGCACTAATATTTATTTTATTCATAATATATATATATGAATATCTATTTTATTTCTATATATGATATGTGTGTTTATATGCAAGCAATACAAACATATATGCCCACATACAAAAAGGGTTGGTAGGTATAAACATAGAAATACGAAGATGGAATTGATAGAATTAGGGCGAATATAAGTCAAGTGCAAAGTTGGGGGCCCCAATTTCAAAAAACAACTGACATTTAGAGAATTTCGATCTCGGTAATGCCAGCCTGCAAACTTGAGATACATCCACTTTGATTCCAAATAGTTCTATTGTCACAGTGGTGCCAAACCCGTGATATTTCCATATCCATGAATATATCATATGTATGTAGCCATACCTTCATGCCTATCTATCCATGATCTGCTCCACCTTTCTTAACCACCAGGACCCCCATCCACCCTGTCCTGTTTCCCAGGATGTTGTGCTCACTTCGTTGAGACGTTCCACCTTGAGGCACGCAAGTGATAAATTTCATGGGGTTGGGCCACTAAGATCATCAAGTCCAAAAGATTGAACACTTGCAAATATAGAGATTCATTACCTCTATGTAGCCGAGTCTCATGCCATGTAAACTTTCTGGGTGTGGGGTTTTGGAACCCCCGTGGGAAAACATTGCCGTTGGGGTTTTATCCGGGATCTGCTAGATGGATCTAGATTCATCAAAGCCGAACCAAATGCTGTGGAAACCCCAATGTGGACCATATAAAATCCCGACCTTCGATCATGCAGTCATAGCCAACCCTTGCTGAGAATGATCTGAGTTCCTGACGGTTAACTATGCTCCAACTAGAGCATAATATCCCCGCAACCAGCACTGCGTCGGGCTTGCAGCATAAGACTGCCCAGAGGAATCTCAGGAATCCTTGACTCGTATTGATGTCCTTAGCACACAATGGTGTGATCGAGGAGCATGGGGTAGGGCACGCGTACAGCAACTTTTAGCACCACTTGCATTCACAGACCCAAAAACACAGTGGCATGACTTAAACCTCATGCCGCATATACATCACAGTGGCCAGTCAGTAATCTACTGGTTTTGCGGCCA